CAAGAATTCTGGATTTCATTTAACTCTGAACTGCCATATGACTCTGCACTGTCTTTTGAAATCGTTGATAAATATAAATGATCATCATGAATACTCGACTCAGTAGAATCAGAATTAAAGACTTAATATTAGTTGCAGTAAGATGAACAGTAATATTACAAACTGACTGAATATGTCCAATATCACCACATTTAAAGCACTTAGAATTACAAAATTTACATGAATCAAAAGAGTGGAACTTGCCACAGGACAAACATTGACCAAACTTGTGCCTATCTTCGTGAACTGCATCCAAACTCCTCAATGAATTATATGCACAACCCTGAGTATGCACTGGGTTGGGATGACATAATGTACTGGAATTTTTTATATCCTCATGAATTATTTTACGAGATCTTCCTCCTTTACCGCATTCGAAATTTGTATACTTAACATAGTCTAGCACCAGCTCCTTGAGAGTTGTATAAGGAAGCGAGATAGGCTCTTCCGGCATAGTCAGAATTCTTAATAAGCTGTATGCTTCTTTTCCAATGAATGTGAGGAAGTGTGCCACAATATTAACATCCTCATCATCTTCCTTGGTCATAGCCCAGATTTCGAACCTGTCAAAGTAATCTTCAAAAGCTTCCGAAGTTGAATGAATAACTAACTTTTTGATTGCAAGTTCCATCGCGACGTCAATATAATGTTTTGAATTATTTGAATTGTATTATGAACTAGGGATCCCAGAATTAACGCAATTGAATTAAGAAGTAAGACACAAGCACAAACGAATGTATTGTATTTGGAATTCGAAATCGAGCATTCAACAAGTACAAAGGTATCATTAGTTAATTCAAACACCACATCCGCCACAGCTTAAATAGAAGTATAAGTGTTTGTAATCGGTTGTACGTCTTCTTGTTAAGTTCATCCTGAGTCTGTCCGACATTGTATAAGATAAAAACTTTGTAGTATTTAGAAAGTGCTCATTAGTATTGGAATTAACAAACGAAATCGGAACAGACTCACCTGGAATTGTATACAATCAGCATATCGGTTTTGTATTGAAATCATTCATATCTAAAATTTGAACCATAGATTTTTCAACACTATCCTCCCACACGAAATAATGTTGGATCTTTATATCCCCAAGTTATGAATAATGTGGCTTCATTTAAAACATATTTCTCACATTGTTTAGAGTAAACATTAGAACTGTTTTTGTGATAAGGGTAAACAGCAGTTGATATGAAATCATCCGAAATGTAATCAAACTCGAGGTCACTTAGTACTCGTGCTTCGTATTGAGCAGGTTTTTCACAAGGATCAAATACGTTATGAGGATAGGTAATATATGATATGACATCAGGATTTGATTCTTCTGAAATATTCTCATGAAATTCATTAGGACTGTCATTGCAGAGCTTAGGATCGTTAGAAAAATCAGCATCTATCCAAACCACATCAGGTTTTCGATTATGATTAGGTTCATTTAACATATTTTCCTCAGAATTGCAAGTAATTTCATTAGAAATATGTGAATCATTGGGAAAAGTCATACCTGGTACAATAGCATGAGAATTCTGATAAGTCGGTTGATTAGGAACTGTTGTCTCACAAGAATTCTGGATTTCATTTAACTCTGAACTGCCATATGACTCTGCACTGTCTTTTGAAATCGTTGATAAATATAAATGATCATCATGAATACTCGACTCAGTAGAATCAGAATTAAAGACTTAATATTAGTTGCAGTAAGATGAACAGTAATATTACAAACTGACTGAATATGTCCAATATCACCACATTTAAAGCACTTAGAATTACAAAATTTACATGAATCAAAAGAGTGGAACTTGCCACAGGACAAACATTGACCAAACTTGTGCCTATCTTCGTGAACTGCATCCAAACTCCTCAATGAATTATATGCACAACCCTGAGTATGCACTGGGTTGGGATGACATAATGTACTGGAATTTTTTATATCCTCATGAATTATTTTACGAGATCTTCCTCCTTTACCGCATTCGAAATTTGTATACTTAACATAGTCTAGCACCAGCTCCTTGAGAGTTGTATAAGGAAGCGAGATAGGCTCTTCCGGCATAGTCAGAATTCTTAATAAGCTGTATGCTTCTTTTCCAATGAATGTGAGGAAGTGTGCCACAATATTAACATCCTCATCATCTTCCTTGGTCATAGCCCAGATTTCGAACCTGTCAAAGTAATCTTCAAAAGCTTCCGAAGTTGAATGAATAACTAACTTTTTGATTGCAAGTTCCATCGCGACGTCAATATAATGTTTTGAATTATTTGAATTGTATTATGAACTAGGGATCCCAGAATTAACGCAATTGAATTAAGAAGTAAGACACAAGCACAAACGAATGTATTGTATTTGGAATTCGAAATCGAGCATTCAACAAGTACAAAGGTATCATTAGTTAATTCAAACACCACATCCGCCACAGCTTAAATAGAAGTATAAGTGTTTGTAATCGGTTGTACGTCTTCTTGTTAAGTTCATCCTGAGTCTGTCCGACATTGTATAAGATAAAAACTTTGTAGTATTTAGAAAGTGCTCATTAGTATTGGAATTAACAAACGAAATCGGAACAGACTCACCTGGAATTGTATACAATCAGCATATCGGTTTTGTATTGAAATCATTCATATCTAAAATTTGAACCATAGATTTTTCAACACTATCCTCCCACACGAAATAATGTTGGATCTTTATATCCCCAAGTTATGAATAATGTGGCTTCATTTAAAACATATTTCTCACATTGTTTAGAGTAAACATTAGAACTGTTTTTGTGATAAGGGTAAACAGCAGTTGATATGAAATCATCCGAAATGTAATCAAACTCGAGGTCACTTAGTACTCGTGCTTCGTATTGAGCAGGTTTTTCACAAGGATCAAATACGTTATGAGGATAGGTAATATATGATATGACATCAGGATTTGATTCTTCTGAAATATTCTCATGAAATTCATTAGGACTGTCATTGCAGAGCTTAGGATCGTTAGAAAAATCAGCATCTATCCAAACCACATCAGGTTTTCGATTATGATTAGGTTCATTTAACATATTTTCCTCAGAATTGCAAGTAATTTCATTAGAAATATGTGAATCATTGGGAAAAGTCATACCTGGTACAATAGCATGAGAATTCTGATAAGTCGGTTGATTAGGAACTGTTGTCTCACAAGAATTCTGGATTTCATTTAACTCTGAACTGCCATATGACTCTGCACTGTCTTTTGAAATCGTTGATAAATATAAATGATCATCATGAATACTCGACTCAGTAGAATCAGAATTAAAGACTTAATATTAGTTGCAGTAAGATGAACAGTAATATTACAAACTGACTGAATATGTCCAATATCACCACATTTAAAGCACTTAGAATTACAAAATTTACATGAATCAAAAGAGTGGAACTTGCCACAGGACAAACATTGACCAAACTTGTGCCTATCTTCGTGAACTGCATCCAAACTCCTCAATGAATTATATGCACAACCCTGAGTATGCACTGGGTTGGGATGACATAATGTACTGGAATTTTTTATATCCTCATGAATTATTTTACGAGATCTTCCTCCTTTACCGCATTCGAAATTTGTATACTTAACATAGTCTAGCACCAGCTCCTTGAGAGTTGTATAAGGAAGCGAGATAGGCTCTTCCGGCATAGTCAGAATTCTTAATAAGCTGTATGCTTCTTTTCCAATGAATGTGAGGAAGTGTGCCACAATATTAACATCCTCATCATCTTCCTTGGTCATAGCCCAGATTTCGAACCTGTCAAAGTAATCTTCAAAAGCTTCCGAAGTTGAATGAATAACTAACTTTTTGATTGCAAGTTCCATCGCGACGTCAATATAATGTTTTGAATTATTTGAATTGTATTATGAACTAGGGATCCCAGAATTAACGCAATTGAATTAAGAAGTAAGACACAAGCACAAACGAATGTATTGTATTTGGAATTCGAAATCGAGCATTCAACAAGTACAAAGGTATCATTAGTTAATTCAAACAGCACAACTACCCAGTGCATGCTATCGGAAACCCAATGTGATGGGGTACAATGAATTCTATGATGCTGTCTTACAACTCCCGATGCTCGCCTCATCCATGTTCATCTTGGTTTGATGGATAATTACCAGATCCAAATGGATAATGTTTTGGCCGTTTCACTTGATGGCCAGAAGAAGCAGCCAACATAGACATTTCTGCTGAAACAGTGGCCACACCCTCGTGGAACGATTTGTCTCAAATCACGGCCCTCATTCAACTAAAACCGTGGATATCAGTTTGAATTTGGATTTTCCATTGCTGCCCTACACTCCAATCACCAAGGATCATAACGAGATTTCGTTGGTGTCCGATAACTGGCCTAAATTGACGCGCTCTAGAAGAACCTCTGGGTTCATAGAGCATCTAAACGACTATTATGTGTAAAACATTCCATAATATCGTCCATTTTTTCTCGTTTCCTATTTTCTATGGTTACTTGTTTCATTTTCAATTCTTTTTATGTTGAAGGTAACAAAAAGCCAAAGCTTCTAAAATACCTGACAAACATTTTGCTATGCTTATGCATGTGAAAATACTTATAGTAAACCCTGTGAAAACCTCTCTGTATGTAATTTTTCGGCTGTCACAAAACAAACATATAAATATATACCGGTCTTCTTCCTTGACAAACTTTGCTTGCTTACCTTAACACGAGCATATTTCGACACGCATGGACTTTTCTATTATTTTCTATTGTATCAGAACAACAACGAAGTCAGTTCGTCAAAAAGCGATTTAAACGTATGAAGTATTGAATTGTATTATGTAATCGCGACAGATTAGAAGGAAAAATGAACAACAGTGGAGACGATTATTCACATAAATGATCCATTTAACAACGATATGAGTGCGTGAATCCACAAGATTCAAAGGATCCGGTAAACACTCAACTATTCGTAAAAATGTTCAATCAAAGTGGCTCAATTTTTAACCGACGATTATACGTTAACTTTTTAAACTGTTTGCTTACAGTGTCGATTCCCAGTCTGGTTTGTTCCAAGTTTTGTGTTTTTGTTAACTATCGCATATCACTTTCCATATTTTATGTAAGTGCGTTGTGTGCACTTGGTAGGCCGTTGGTTTTACCTTCATCATTTTCCATCCTTTAATCACGTCACTTCATGCTCCCATTAGTACACAAAACACCTTTTGGCTAGACGTGAACCGCTACAACAGCCCAATACATAATGCGATACAGGTGCACTCTAATCATTTGGTTTTCAAGCTAATGGAGTAATATATATGATATCGATGTCTGAACTACGATGGTAGTTCATATAAATGTGAAAATCCGACCTACCTGAATTATGACTATATATTCCTGCGAACAATTTGGAAATACTAATGCTCAATAACTAATGGTACAATCACCTATTAACCTTAATGGTTCACTGACGCTCTGGAACTTGGATAAATCGCAAGGTACGTTCGCAAGTTTTGTAGTCGTAATCCAGATAGATCGTTTGTCTACATTCACTTTTTCAGCTACCTGATATTTTATAGTATCAGCTATCCTTTCAAACAAGTGGATTACTAGGACACCAAAAGAGTACTATGTGAATAGCTACCGGACATACAAGCTCGAATGTGAGCGTTTTTAATTCTTCAACTGTCATAAAACCAGCAGTCGGTCTCACAGAATACATTTAGTGACTGTAATTCATAGTCCATTAGATGGTGCACATGGGCTCCAGTATCTTGCGGGGACGAATGGCGTATGAACCAATCGTTGGTCACCGGCTACCATGGGACTGCATCTCCTTACGATGCTCCACTGCCTTGTGGGTTAGACCTTTAGGTCAAAGGCTCGGGGAGTGGCCCCCTAAGATAACCACCTGCTTCGGTTTGGGCACCCGGGCAGTATCACAGCCCACATACAAATTGATGAACTCTTTATGCCTATGGAAATTACCTTTCTCGCTTTGAAAAACAAACAATTGATTCATATTATTATCATTACAATTATTGTCATTATTGATACTAATATTATTATTACTACTATTATTGTCATTATTGTTATTATTATCATTATTATTATTATTTTCCACATTATTCACCCTCTTTTATACTTATACAGCGGCTCGTCTTTGGTGGAAATCCGACTGTATCTAAACGTTCTCGAGTCACTGTCCGGTTGAAAATTGTATGTTACCACCGAATACGAGGACTGAAGCAGATTTTCTGAAACCACGTGCACCATTCAAACTGGCTGCCTTCAACGTTCGCACATTTATACAGGTCGGACAACAGATAGGGCTGGCTATGTCTTTGGAAAGTCTTAATATCGACGTGTGTTGTCTATCCGAGACCCGTATTCAAGACTCTGGCGAAGTACTACAAATTCGATCTCCATCTGTCGCTTCGAAAAGCTTGTTTTACGTGCGCTTATCCGGGGACCCTGTGGCATCTTCGTCTGGTCTTGCTGGCGTTGGTGTCGCACTAAGCGCTAGAGCTGAGGCAGCACTAGTCGATTGGGTCCCCATTAACAGTCGGTTATGTGCTGTTAGATTAGAAAGCTCCATCAAAGTGAGAAGAAATCGGCGTGAGAAACGATGTCTTTTCGTCATCTCCGCCTATGCCCCGACAGATTGCAGCCCGGATGCAATCAAGGATGAGTTTTACCACCAGTTATCAGTTCTTCTCCAGAAAGTGCGTTCGACAGATATTGTAGTACTAGCCGGAGACTTGAATGCTCAGGTCGGGCGTCTAGGCACAGAAGAGAGTCGTTTAGGTGGCCGATGGGGACTCGTTGGTCGCAGGTCAGATAACGGGGACCGTCTACTGCAACTTTGCACAGACCACAACCTGTTTCTGGCTAGCACTAACTTTCGGCACAGTCATCGCCGATGTGCCACCTGGCGTCCTCCCTCTGCATCTCAAGCCTGGACTCAGATTGATCACATCGCGATCAGCTACCGCTGGCGTGGTTGTGTACAAGACTGCCGCTCCTTTTGGAGTACCTATCTGGACTCTGACCATGCCTTGGTCTGCGCCAATCTTGCCTTACTTTTCAGTGGTCAACGAAGTGAACGCCATCAACGGATTGATGTTAGCAAGCTGGTTGCAACTTCTGTTGCAAGTAAGTATCGAACCGAGCTAGCTTCTAGGCTAGCTACCACTCCACCGAAAAGTATAGATGAGCATTGGTTGCAATTGCATGACGCTATGAAAATGGCGGGAACAGTCAGTTGTGGGTTTGCGAAACGTCCCGCTTTTAAGCACTGGGTTTCTTCTGGTTCCTTACAACTCATTGAAGCCCGTCGGTCTACTCCGGGTGACCGTGAGTTTGACCATAAACGAAGGATGTTACGTAAGGAAATTGGGCAAAGCTTGCGTAAGGACCGAGAAGCCTGGTGGTCGATGCGTGCTAATGAGCTGGAAGCAGCAGCTGCATCTGGTAACTACCGGAAGCTCTTCCAGCTCATCCGAGCCACTGGCAGGAAGAAGTCTGGTGTGAGTGAAACAATCTGCGAGGATGACGGGATGCCAATCACTAACATCCATCGACGTCTTGGACGATGGGCAGAATTTTTCGAAGGGCAGTTCAACTGGCCTGCTGCTCCGGCAACATCGGTCAGACTGTCCTGCCCTCCATGGCCGGTGACGACTGATCCACCAAATGAGGAGGAAGTCCGCAAGGAACTCCAACTCTTGAAGCGTTACAAATCACCTGGCCCAGATAACTTACCTCCGGCTCTTTTTAAAGATGGTGGTGACTTTTTGACTAAGGAATTGACGACGTTGTTTACAAAGGTTTGGGAACTAGAGAGTGTCCCAACGTCATGGAATGAGTCGATAGTTGTCCCTATCTTTAAAAAGGGTTCACGTCGTTCTTGTAACAACTATCGGGGGATAAGTTTACTTCCGATTGCGTCCAAGCTATTGGCTTCCGTCATTCTTCGTAGGTTGTTCAAAACCCGAGAAAGATTGACTCGCGAGGAGCAGGCTGGGTTTCGTTCTGGTCGAGGATGTACTGATCATATCTTCACCCTCCGCCAAATGTTAGAACACCGCCATACTTTTCAAAGGCCAACAATCGTAGTGTTTCTTGACATCAGGGCTGCCTTCGATTCGTTGGATAGGACTGTTCTCTGGGATTGTCTATTGAAGAAGGGTGTGCCTGAGAAGTTTATTAACATCCTAAAAGCCCTGTATAAAAACACCTCAGGCAGAGTGAGGGCATACAACCACCTCTCTCCATTGTTCCATTCGAGCAGTGGGGTTAGGCAGGGTTGCCCAATCTCACCATTCCTCTTCAACTTTGCCATCGATGACATTCTGGAAACAGCTCTGATGAATGTAAGTAATGGTGGTGTGGATCTGTTGCCTGGAGAAAGACTTCTCGACCTTGAGTATGCGGACGATATTGTCTTACTGTGCGATAATGCCCAAGGCATGCAATCCGCACTTAATCAGTTGGCAATCAATGTCCGTAGGTATGGTATGTGCTTTGCACCTTCGAAGTGCAAAGTACTTCTACAAGACTGGCAGGATTCTAATCCTGTACTCACCCTGGACGGTGAGCAGATAGACGTAGTTGAGAAGTTCGTGTATCTGGGTAGCTTCATAAGTGCTGGTGGGGGTGTGAGTGATGAGATCAATGCACGAATAGTGAAAGCCAGAGCGGCTTATGCCAATCTGGGCCACCTTTGGCGCCTTCGTGATGTTAGTCTGGCTGTAAAAGGCCGGATCTACAACGCGTCGGTGAGAGCAGTTCTGCTCTATGCTTGTGAAACCTGGCCTCTCCGAGTTGAGGACGTTAGACGACTCTCTGTGTTCGATCATCGCTGTCTCCGAAGGATTGCTGACATTCAGTGGCAACACCATGTCAGTAATGCAGAGGTTCGGCATCGTGTGTTCGGGCACAGAGATGATAACTCAATTGGTGTCACCATCTTGAAACACCGACTTCGGTGGCTTGGACATGTTCTCCGAATGTCGTCCCAGAGAATTCCACGTCGTGCATTATTTGCCGACTCTGGGACTGGTTGGAAGAAGCGGAGAGGTGGTCAGTGTATGACATGGTGTCGTGGCATGAAAGAAAGCTGCAAAGGACTGGCTTGTGTTGGTCCTTCACGACTCCCTGGCTGGGGTCCGAGAGATGGTGCTACACAGTGGCTAGAGACGTTATCAGATATGGCTCAGAATAGAAGCCAGTGGCGATCCTGCTGTAACCTTCTTTTACTTTCTTCATAAAAAGTGGTTGTGTCTCCTTTACCTGAAAGATTTCTTCTGATTGTACCTCTTCGTCATTGCCCTCTTTTTCTTTTGCGTTCCTTAGTTTTTTTTTCTTCTTTCTACTTCTCTTCGAATTCCCATTGTTTTGTGTGGCGCATATATATTGGCGCTCTCTTGTACCAATATTTATGTGTTCAAATAAATAAATAAATAAATAAGTCCATTAGATACTGGACAAGGTATAAGGGTAAGCCGAGAGTCATTTCAATACTGTGTACCTTCTGACCAGTCAATGGATCCCCAACTTTCGTTGATAAATGAAGGCTCTTGATCTGTTCTGGGAGATACAACTGTGTTCAACTTGATTCTTCGTGCACCAGGCACTACTGTTTCTTACGTAAGTAAGGCGAATAATGCGTTGAGGTTTTTTCACTTGGGATCACTTCTGTTAAGATTACATGTAATTTTCTATAAAACTTGAAAATACAGTAATACCAGTCTCCATTACGTCACATGTAGATGTCTTGTAGACTACATTTGTACTTCCTGACCATAAGCAATGTTTCATTTTGTTTTCCGTCTCTGTTGCATACTTATTTAACGGAATCAACCTCAGCATAGACTAAGGACATTAAGCGTGTGAGGCCGCAAAAATGTTCTCGAAAACCCTGCAATTTCATTTGATAAGACTGGGCTTAGATGTGTAACAGTGACAAGGCTAGAACTTCATATTCAGATAAGTGGCAATCACATAAGCTTTTGATCATCATTCTAGTCGTAATTAATTGACAAGTATTCTAGAGATTCAACCGCTTTGTATATGCTTCATTTGAACTTGTTCAGTATTCTCTGTTTGACAACATAGAGTCAAATCTGGTCTATTGTTGTGTTGGCAGTCTACGTGAGACTGTTATATACTAGAATTGTTTCTATTACATGTGAATCAAGTTCACATTGTTTAAATATCAGTGGGTATCTTTGATATAAACGTCAAATGAGTATACAAGAACCGTCCTAAACTTTTATATATCGTTTTTGTTGGAAGTAACAACTTGTAGCTGACTGACTGACTGATATTGTTCTTGTTAGATCGGTTATTTGGATGTTTAAACATGTCCAGTAATACCAACTTATCACTATATGGCTGTTTACTATACCTTCACTATTCCAGCGATATATATATATATATATATATATATATATATATATATATATATAATGGTTTTCCCTTCTAGATAATCCGCTTGAATGACTACTCAATGACATCATTTGCCGTCACTTGGTTTATAACTACATGCATATCTTCAAAAAGAAGGGATCATAGACTCTAGAACGAGTCGACCGACAGCGTCATAGCGACAGCGTCAATTCAAACCGTTATTTAATTATCTTAAAAACATCCTTTTCATTCCGTAAATTTATGTTCTTTTCTCAAATTACATATTTACTTAATCCTTTGTATTGCCACTAATGCTTTTACTACACACGCAATTAATGAACTGAAATTGTGTGGCGCATATATATTTGGCGCACTCCTGTACCAATATATATGTGTTCAAATAAAAAATAAAATAAACATACCACTCTAGCATCTTACTGTCCTAATAGAGCGTGGCAGCTTTAACCCACATAAGTTCCAAATTCTACACTATATAACTGACTGGGATTTGAACCTATTCTAAACAGAACAGGTCAATTAAGTCTTCATGTTCGTAATAGAAATAAATATACTATCTCTGCTTAGAAGTCTTTAAACTAAATGCGAAAATCCCACTCGATGTTTCTACTAAACAAAAGCTATGGTTGAAAGGCTTCTATGTTCAAATACCTACTTCGCACGTATCTTTCCCTCGCTAAAACCCGTCTAACATCCGTCAATTAGTACAGTGGATTCACTGTCACCAAGCATCTTATTAGTGACAAGTTTGCAAGTGCAAAACGAGTTCTATCTGTTTTAAGATTTCTGCATCATAAAGCTAGGTTTAGTTTGAGATAACTTCCGACTCAACTTTTCGGGGTTTGAATAAGTGTCTAACCATTTACTATACATTAACGAGCTCTTGATACTTGAAGCATGTTTGGCGTTCAGATTTTAACTCATCACCTGTCTGGAACCTCGTTATACAGCTCATAAAAAATTTCTATCAACTGGTTTATTTCATAAGGTTTATTATCATCATGATTATTTATTATTCCTTCGATTCCGTATTTGCACCCCGAAAATTCTTCTAAGTTTTATAGGGCAAGGTCATGTTTTTTAAATGAATTTATTGTCTATCAACTCATAAAACTTATTTTCCCTCCTAGATTTTTTATCTGAGGAAAAATTCGTACAAATTTGTGGGTGATATTAGATGTATCATTAACTGAAGTTGACTTTTCAATTTGTTCCAATGCCTACCTTATCTCAATAGTTAACTTACATTGTTATCTGTTGTAATTATAACATAATACAATAAAGTGAATAGTGACAGTGCTACCTTGTCGATAATGGATACATTATTCATTAGTTCAACATTTGATTCATTTGATGTTCTGTATACGTTACTATTTGGACTTCTTGTATTTTGCATTATGGCACCGACTACAGAGTTTATTTCTGCTGGTGTAACATTAGAGAATTTGTTTAATCGATTTCTTGGTAATGAAAGTTTATACTTTGTACAGTATCATTTAAAAAGAACTGTAATGATACGATTATTTTCATCGTCTTTGATCTTTCGTAAGTTTAATTATCTTCGTTTTTACTTACATTAATGTAGTAGGTATTTGGTTTTATATGGTAACTTTTAAGATGTATTTTATTTGGTGAAAAGGATGTTAGATGGTAATTTAGCTTCGTGGACTAAAATACTTTTGAATTTAATTCACTACATTTATTTTCAAGGATGGCTTCTCAACTAAGATAGAATGAGCAGTCTGGATGTACGACTAACTCTCATGCAATAAATTATAGGTTGGTATGCAATAAGTTTAAACATCTAAGTCGAGTTATCAATTATCTCTGTCAAGGTTATTGTGTTGTTTCCCTCTGTATAATAGTCAGCACAAACTAGAGATACTCACCGGACGTCATTTACTCAATGGAAACTTGTTTATGCATTAGTTACTCACTATTTCCATATGGAACAAGTCTGTATGTTATTTTTCAGTTGTTTTGAGTTCTATATGTTCTTCAACTATAGGAATACTGCCGTTGCTTTCCCAATCCTTGCCTTTGCGTCTGCATTGGATCCTCTTTGTTCATCGATGGTGCTGCCCAGGTACGTGAAAGTTTCCACATCTTCCAGAGTTTCTCCATCAAGTGTGACTAGGTTGGTGTCCTTCATATTGTATTTGAGGATCTTGCTTTTTCCGTTGTGCATGTTGAGGCCTACTGATGTAGAGGTTTCTGCTACACACGTTTTCATCTGTATCTGTTTGTGTTTATGGGATGGAAGAGCTAGGTTATCTGAGAAGCCCGAATCGTCTGTTGCATCCAAGATCTTCATTGTATTCCATGTTTCTCAGATGTGGAGGTTTTCATAATCCAGTCAGCCAACAGAAGAAAAAGAAGGGACGTGAGTAAACAGCCTTCTCTGACAGCGGTCTTCGCTTGGAATGCGTCTGTCAACAGTCCTTCATGGACGACTTTGCACTGTTGTCCGTATACGAATTCTGCATGATGTTGACGATTTTCTCAGGTACACCATAGTATCGAAGATGGTTCCATAAGGTTCTCGTATCTACACCGTCAAATGCTTTCTCTTAATCAAGGAAGCTGATGTATAGTGACGAGTTCCATTCAATTGATTGTTGAACAATGATCCGTAGTGTCTCTAATCGGTCTGTGTACGGCCGATCCTTATGGAATCCAGCTTGTTGATCTTGAAGGTGGGTGTCTACTGAGTTTTTCATCTGGTTCAACAACACTCAGTTGAAAACCCTTACTGGTACTAACTGTAGTGTGATGCCTCTGTAGTTCTCTCACTTACTCAGATCTCCTTTCTTTGGTATCTTGATAAGGTATCATTCTTTCCATTCTGTTGGCACCTGTTCCTCCTCCCAAATCTTCCTGAATTAAACATAAAATATCTTTGCAGTTACTTCTACATCTGGCTTTAGTGCTTCGGCTGGTATATTTTCAGGCCCTGCTTCTTTGCCAAACTTGGTTTTTCTGATGCACTCCCTGATTACTTCATGTTGGTAGAGTGACATCTGTAAGTGGTGCTTCGATGTGCGGTGGGTTCAATGGAGCTGATCTATTCAAGAGTTCTTCAATGTATTCTACACATCTGTTCCTCTGTTCTTAAGTCTCAGTGATTGGCTTGCCTCCTTTGTCCTTGACTGGTTTACAATTTTTACCTACTAGTTCCTTCGTTGTTTCGTATAGTAATCTTATATTTCCTTTTCTTGTAGCTTTTCCACTGTCATTGCTAGTTCTTCCACGTACTTCTGCTTGTCAGTTCTAATGCTCTTCTTCACTTGCTTGTTTACTTCTGTGTATTCAGCTTGTGCCTTAACTCTCTCTGTTCTTGTTCGGCTGTTGTTGATTGCTGTCTCCTTGTTCTTCCGTTCTTGAATCATGTCTAGGGTTCCGATGGAGATTCTTTCGTTATGATGATGCTTCTTGCGACTCAGAACCTCCTGGCACGTTAAAGTTAATGCTTCTTTGATCCCTTTCCAATTGTCCTCCATAGTAGTTTCTTTCAATAGATTCTTCAAAAACATGACATGTGAAAGAAAATGTGACTAGATATCTGTAAAATTTTTACCAATGGTCATTAGAAAACCCATGTCTACTTATACTTAAATCCCAAAAGGTCATAAATATATTACTCGGTACACTAATGGTTAATACATATGGCTTCAAGCAGAGAAATGGGTCGCAACTCGTCTTCAGCTTATTCTGTTTAAATGGCTGGACACCCTTACTAGCTTTTACGTAATTCAAGCACAATTTGGAGCCGAGTGCACAGATATGTATTTGACAAATAATTTACTTCGTATATTACATTTAATTACATGAAGGTAAAAATAAAACATTTTTATTGTTATTTATTTTTGGGGCCTGTGCGATCAAACCGTAAAATAAGAGCAGTCGTATTGATCTATTCTGATATTTCGATTATTTTGCCAAAACTGTCCATCTAGTACTAATGACAATGATAGTGAAATAACAACTGCGAATAACACAATGACTATCGGTTCAGAACTTAGTTTTTCATACTCGACCGCTCAATATCCAGGATAGAACAGGACTTCAGACAGATAACTTCTAATTATACAATTCAAATTTATAAGGTACTCATACATTGATATAGAGTCAAATCCCGATCACACCATAAGTCTATGTAGGACTGATTAATAACTTAATAAAGATACAATACATAATAACAGTTAACGCATCACGAAAAAGTTTACAAGTAGGCGAATATAAAATTCCATAGTTTAAATATGTAATAGTCATACAACAAAGGTACAAACATTAACTTTATATAGGGGATTCTGAAAGCTCAACTACGCATAGTATTTATCCCATCATAGCATTTATTTAGCTTTAATAATCTATGTTAATACTTAATATTTCTAAGATTTTTGTGCAGGACTATAATTTATGGACGAACCAATCGGGTATAAGATAACAGATCTTGGATTTTGGCGCGAAATTCATTCATCCGTTTGGCTAACTAGCGTTTTGGCATTATAGTTGATGTCAGTTCGTGATAAAAACCCTAAATCTAGTTCTTAATCCTAACCACCAACTGTAAATCATAATTCTAATTCTTCACACTGGTTTATAACCCTCATTTAGTCCTGTTTAGTAGGTGAACATTCTCAAGGTCACTTTAGCATTGCTCAAACGTCCTTCATTAATTATGGTTTCACCAATTTTTATTACGCTTCTTGTTTATATTTATTATTTTTTCTAAATTGTAGTGTATTTTGTGTTCATGCAGTGTTTGTCCAAAAATGTAGCGATTTCTGCTCCAAATGTTTCATTTCCATTTACAATTTGGGATGTAATTTTATGGATTGGCATAGGCAGTCTATCTGTCATTGGGTCACATACTTATCTAGTTTGGTATGGATCTGGTACATGGTATGGCCACCCAACAATTTTATCATTGAAACGGATTATTATGGAATCACTACCTGATTCACAATTGTCATCTTCAGCCACAGCATCATCATCCTTGTCAAATGGCGCATTTAGTGTCGCGTAAGTATATTTTACAACAGATATTTTTCTGTATACCTAGTGAATTAAGGATAATTGTTATGCTATTCAAAACCTTATGTAGTGTCCATATTTTGGCCTTTAAAATAGTGATTCAGCTGTGCAGAATGGTACAATGCGGCGAACTTATAGTGGTTTTTTCATAAAACAGCGTCTACTGACTTGAAAGCCCCTGATTAGATTGTGTAGTTTTGTGACGTAAAGTGTCTTCAAGCAAAAGTTATCGCTAAAAGATACCCAAATAAATTAAGATTTGTAATCAAATTACCTTAGATTGATGAATCAAGATTTTCACTGAGTTCTTTGTGTATTGACGCAGTACAGAGCTGTAGAAATGAGTGTATTGTCCATTTGACTATTCTTTTATATACCATCTAACTTTATTATTAATCCGACTTCTAAAAACAAACCACTATTGTCTTGTTCTTTATTCTAAAAGGAATGTGAAATATAGGTAAATGTTCGTAAATATATCTCATAATATCAATATTTTCTAATCTAAAAGTACTGGAAAATCGTATTATTATGAAATCAGAGATACTTCAAGCTTTTTTTATCTATTAAATACTTAAAACAATGTGTTTAATCATTCACATTAATAAGTCTATTCTTATTTGTGACAGTCACTCCTTAACTTGTTCTGAATCACACTATTCTCACTAGTTTATTATTTTGTCTTATACTTACTTATACTTAAGTTTTCTTCGGTATATGGGCCCAGTTTAACTATAAAATTTAATGACTGTAGAGACCACTGATCTTTATTTCATCAGATAACTTTGAATAAAGGGACAAATTATCAGAAATAGTATGAAATAGAGTTAGATTATGCTTTATACTGGGCACCCACAAATAAATTTTCAAAGAAAGCAATCTCATTCAGAGAAATAATTATGTCTCGTACCTAACACTAACTCAGAACTATTTTACTAATCAAATACTTGAAAAATCAAAACTATCACCTCCTCTTTTCGTTGTATGAACGTGATTCGGCATTGTTGTTTAGCATATTGTGTAGAAAATTCTAAGAAATTCATTAATAAACAATAAAGCAAATCTTAAGGGTAAAACTGATCATCATTAACCTGATATGCAGCTGATATACTGTGATCTAATTTTCGAATGATTGTTGTCTTATGACTCAACGCTTATGATTGTGCTAAACAAATAATATCACATTTATTAACTACAAAAAAGCTTTCTTTCTATATTCCCGTCAAAATATCACTTACCATACGAATGAAGCTGGTTCAGTCTGATTGAAATACAAAAAATCCTTACTATTGTTACTGGTATTTTCCAAACTGTTGAATTTTTTAACTCGAATTAGACCAATAATCAGTGAATCCATGTGTTGATATAATTTTCCTAACTGACTACTCATTAATTTTTTGTCAACAAAGTAACAAATCAAAGTGGATGATAAAATTTAAAGTTTGCCTAGCTGACTTGAGAACCTCGTTCCAATGTTATAAATGATCACCCATATATATATATATATATATATATATATATATATATATATATATATATATATATATATCGGTCCAGTTGAAGTCCAGTATAAATCCAGTCTTTTAGGTTAAAATAGATTGTAAATAGTGATTAATTTGTAATGTTTATCGCACTTTAGTGCGAAGTCTTAATTTCCTATGTTAGCTTATTATTTCTATGTTGATGATAGCATTTTTCACTTTGGAAATAGATTGTTTTATTTCGTGACCTCAATGAAATTCTCCATTCCGATGATCCGCCAAAAGTTGTATTTAAAAGTTAACGTAACACAAACCTGCCTATCTAGTGAGATCCGTATTGTATTCGTGGACAGTTAGAGCTGTGGCTTAGTGGTTAAGATGCTCAATTTTCAGCTGACAAGTCCTAGCCTCGAGTCTCGTTCCACCTAGTTCGGTTCGGATAACCTAGTAGTATCATTAGCCTACCCACTTGAAGTGTGTTTCATCCCCTAAAGTACATGGAGAATAAGTTAAATTATTTAGATAGCAGATAAATTCTTGACTCACTCAGTTTTTCGAGTTTTTACATCACTTATAAAATGATGATCAATTTTTGAAGTGCTTTATAGAATATTTCATATTTTAACCTCAATTTTGTTTTAGTATAAAAGCTTTGATATCTTCAATAAATTCTGAATATCAACGTTCTGATAAATTCGTAGCAGGTCAAGGAAGTTTATCAACTAATTGGTCAGGTCGACGATTTGTTATCACAGATTCATGGATTTTAACTTCACGTTTTACTGAATTCAAAATACTTAGACAATCTTCGGAAAATATGTTAGCTGTTGTTGTTTCAGCATTTTCAGTGCTGGACCCAAGCTCTCTAACTCAAGGTGGTCAACCTGACGGAGAAAGTCTCGGTGTGCAAACAATTGTTACAGTGAGATTTATACGTACAGATACAGGAGTGTGTTTGCTTAGTTTTGGGTAAGTAGTAATAAGTGTACATTGTAAGTAAGCTGTCACTGCATTTATTTTGATTGGTAATTTTCTAGTCACAAGGTTAATGGATTGATTGAATCTAGTATCAGCATTGATTCAATCAATCTGAAGTGATTCATCTTGATACTTTCAATGTTATCCTCAGAAAGTTGTTAACCCAGGGGTTTTAATTTATTCCAGTCTCTCATTAGTGAATAAAAGCCACAGTCACTTCCTTTCAGATGTATAGTGTTGAATTATTTCCAGACCATAGCTGCTTCCTTGATGTGGTTGTCTGACTTGTTCATCGTAATGACCCAGTTGAGGTAATTGGCTAAAACAAAATCATTTACATCTTGTATTTACCAGACCAGTTGGAAGAAGTTAGTAAGAGTAAAAGCACCAAACTGAACTTTCTAGGGCAGAGCTATACTGGTAACTGCACAGAGGTGGAATGGCAGTAAGAAGTTTCTTTTTGACAACCGTCATCTCCAACGATGGTGTTTTCTGACAGCAGATAGAGTGAGTTTACGTAAATAAATCATTCACCGGGCACTTTTAGATATGAGCCACACTTAGTCTAAAGGCTAATGATACTACCAGGTTGCTCGAAACGAATTAGGTAAGTCGGGGTTCGAATTTGGGACTTCGCGGCTGAAAGTTAAACACCGTAACCCCACTAAGCCAATATCTTGCTGGAGTATTTTTATATCATGTGAGCAACCGATCAATAATAACCACTCTGATACATTTTACAGTACTCAAGATCACTTTGTTCTTCTTCAATTCTTTATATTCCTCGATTCTTACTCTCAATTTAATCAATATAATGTTTTCTCTTGAGTGGCATTCAAATTCACGCTGTTTTGAATATTTGACTCGAAACAGAATCAAACCATAATTTGTATATCTTTTCTTTAATTAATTTGGCTCAATATGTTCATTTCTGATCATTTCCACCGTTACATATTGAGTTTCGTGTGATTTATAACGTTTGAACACTTGATTTCTATGTTTGGTAACTGGTTAATGTTTTAATAATCCTAAGCGTCATAAATTTTGTGAGCTACAAACTTTTAACACCAACAATAAAAATGTCGCTTTGTATTTTCAGTAGACTTTATTATTTCCAATTTATTATTTCAAGATTGCCAGCATCAAATTTAGATGAGTTACGCAGTAAATTACGTTTCCCTTTAATACAAGCACAAGGTGTACAATTAGAGCCAACAATTATTCAAAGATTTATTGAAGCATTTACACAAGTAGTTGATGAAAATCAACCGGTAAACCTACCAGCTGGCTATGTGAGTTGTTTATATTTCATGTGTACAACTATGAACAAAATACTTCTTAATTATTAATGCTCAATCAAATTTAAACATTAATTTTATGCTGAATCTTGTCATACCTCTATTTCCCCCCCCCAACTATCCAGTCAGTTGTATTAATTCTGCTAACACCTTACCTGCCTTATCAAAACAAGTTTATATATTGATTTACTCTTTACACAATCAAAAGACTATTTTAGCTACTCAGTGTACTTAGATATTTGTACAATTCTTCATTCATTAAGGATGAACAGTATTTGTAATTCAGGCTAAGCATTTTGGAGGCACTCTGTTTTCTGAGCTAAATAGTTCCATTGTGAAGTTTTCATTGTCTTTCCAGACAACATCATGATTTACTTTTTGAAGGCTTCACAATTAAACGACCTAGCTCAGAAAACAGGACATCTAGAAAAGAATAGCTTAGGTTTTAATCTTCATTTTTAGTTGATAAAACCAGCAACAGTAAGTCGATATCTGACATGAATAACGCAAAGAAAATGACCAGTTCAGTATGATCGAAGATTAACAAATAAAAACTGTTCTAGTTTTTAACTAACCAGTAAAATGCGGACAACACAATTGTGAAATAAAATGAGTTACTTATAAGTAATGTAACTAGATTATGCAATATAAATGCGGCACAATAGTTCAGCAGTTGGATATCAAATTACTTGATTGTTGAATTTTCTTTTTGTATCAATTGATTCAGTTAAAGGTATGCTCAGAAAGAAATCAATTGTACGTAACTAATGTATGTATTGCATAATCCTATGTCTTGAATAAAACATATATTGATATTAGATGATTAGAGACTGTCGACAAGAAATCTTAGACCTAAGTCACGTGCTGGTTGACACTCATCAGCAGGACATATCTACATCATTTGGATAATTGGTATTCCCTAGTGGATTTGAATATGAATCACCTAGTTTCACCATTCTGAGACGTTACCACTGTGTTCTATCCAGATAGTGATGAACATTGTGTCAGACTGAGATATTTACAATTGACCAATCATTAAGCGGTGATCAATGTCATATTTGTTTAGCCCTACTTCAATGTTAATTTTACTGAAATAAAAAATGTCAGTGAAGTAGAAGGAATTTTAACTTGGTGTTATGATGTAATGTGGTGAATAAAATGTTAAAATTCTTGGTTTTTTTGTTACTTTCATTTTGACCGTTGGTTAAACATTTCCATTATATAAAATCATACTAACCTAATTGAATACTTTGTTCATAATTGATAGTTTCAATTTCCTAATAATACCGTTCAGTCATCTAGCTAGTAGCTCTCTCTCCTATACAATGGGGTCAATCAGAAATCGTACGAATAATGTGTGCACGATTGGTCAAGCAATGCCTTACATTGCCCAGGAATGAGACATACACCATTGATGGCTTAATTTTGTAGGGGATATATATATACGAGTATGGGAACAAAAGTTTCTTTCTGCATCGAGTACGGGGAACGTGAGTACCAGTACGAATTCTCGTACACTAAATATCACAACAGTGTCTTATGCGGATGAGGTTTAAAGCTCAGTTGCACGAGTAAAATACACTTGCGGTCACTCACTCACCACAGTAGTTCCGTCAGCCAAGTATTCTCTCAAAGCACTTTTGACAGTCGGTTATGTTACTTGACTGTTAAGAAGTAAGTAATGAATTTAAATCATGTCCTACGTTTGCCGAAGTTTCTGAAGCCTAATGATGGGAATAACCTTCACACAATAGTGCTAGTTTATTGTTTGGCTCAGAAACTTGTATGTCATTCCTTATGTACACTATTTTACGGTATGACCTAAATGTAATATGTATATTTCGATTGATAAGATGCTGTGTGCAGATTTCTCTATTTGAAGTTGCTTTTCGTTGCAAAGTGACTGAAATCAGGGACTACTGAATAGCTGCCAGGTTTCAACTTAAAACTTTTCAAGAGTCCCCACCTCATCCACTATTCCAAAGGTATCCTCATCGTCGCAAGACCTCAAGTTCGTAGAGCCAGTCATAAGTACGGTTGCGAGCGCACACGACTAAGGAGTCTAAAAATTTAACAAAACTGCTGTTTATCACTTCGTATTCATCGGTAACTCTTCAGCTGATGTAAGTCTCTTATAAAATGACTAAATTCATGTCTGTAAACAATTTTTATTCCGAAAGTTGTATCAGTATTTAAGAGATTGAATATATCAAGCAGAATTCATATGCTATCTTTGGTTGTGTTTTGATTTCAAGTCTTCTTTTCTTTACAAAATTTCTGCTGTTTTAATCTAGAAAACGTTTGAATGAACATATTTCAACAGCAAAACGTAAACTGTCAGAATTACCGGTGTTTTGAAAATAGCTTCGTTCTCAATTTTTTGGCATTTTCTAATCCTTAAACATTTTATTCCCAAAAATATCGTATGTCCTGTCATTCTTCATCTTGTCTGATTATTTTTATAAACTCACTTTAACAGAAATATTCAATATTTTCGAGAGTATATATATATCTTCATAATATTTTCCTGTCATATGTGGTTCGAATTTCAACTCGTCCAAATCAAAACATAATATCAGTTTGTGAGACCATTGGCTTTTGAACTAAGCCGTATTAGTCAGTGCATACCACTACCACTCGATTAAGGTAACTAATGTTCGGAGATATTGAATGACATGGCTTAGAATCGGTTGAAATAGCGCAGATCAACTTATTGTTTTTCTCCCTTTAGATCTTGAATTTTAACATAACCTCATACTGTTTATCAAGCAAATTCATTCTTTCTTCTCGAAACAGATTTCCTTTTCCTAATGTTTCCCACTATCACTGATATTTTCACTATTTTAACTGGCTATAAAGGTTACTGTTACAATTCATCTCTTCATTCTGATTATGATGTGGCAACTTGAACGGATACACATATGGGCAAAGTTCTACGTTGCATAATAATGACTGACTGACTGATCCAAGTATCAACTAACCAAATATTAGATTTCAACCATACTGCATTTTTTCTGATTCGAAAAGTCAAATCCTATCTATCTTTACATAATAAGTATAGTACAAAGTCTAGTACATAGACAATTTATATATGCTCACTAGGTTATTAATTTGTCGCTTCATATTTTTGATAGTGTTTCACTCAATGTTATTCTTTCGGTTTTTATTAATTAACTTATTGCATACTTTATTGTTATATATTTTCATACCTTTAAAGGAGTTGGAACAGTGCATTGGATGTATGGTACAACAAGTTAATGTCACTTTAAATCGTCAATGCGAAAGTTCACTCACCCCTTCTTCATCATCAGCAGCAATTAATAGTAATCAATCATTAGATAGTAATCAATGCGGTATATGTTATTGTAGACCGTTATGGTGTTTAGAATGTTTAGCACGTTGGTTTGCTTCAAGACAAACAAATATGCGGTGTCCACCAACTCAATGGCTTTCTGGACGTGTACCTTGTCCAACATGTCGTACATATTTTTGTGCTCGTGATGTGTCACGACTTATTATTTCTCATCGACAATTGGACTGAGATCTGTTGTACTTAACAGGTAACATCAGAAAATGTGATTCATTTGTGATACCAATCGGTTTTCCCCTTTTCCTTCACTTGAACAATTCAAACATATATATATATATATATGCTCTGTCCTACCGTCTTTCTACCTGTCCTTCAAATGACTTGCTCTTGATTGTTTTGTTACCTCAGTAACTATTGAGTAAAAACTGGTTTCTTTATCGTCTCCCATCCTATTATTGGGGTGTTCTTTTCTTCATTCTCGTTTTTGGTCTCTTATTTTGTTCCTAATTTTTATAATTCCTAACATGTTTGTAGTGTATAGTGGGTTAAACAAGTTGTGTATAATAAATTGATTACAAAAGCACTTCAGGTTTTTTCCGTCAAGTAAAATGAGCAATTTTCGTTTGTCTGTGTTGATTAGTTATTTTTTATCATTGGAGGGATTTTGTGGAGGTTGATTTAATTTTTAGGTTGTATTTGCTATAGATTGATCTGAGTTGATGTATTATTGGAACCATGGAGCACTGGGTAACTGTTTTCTTCTAGCATGGGATTCATTAACAGTATGCACCTATGACCTCATTAGGAGTCGAATCCAACGGTTTAGATCCCATACTAAGCCAATTTAGCCGCCTATAGCTTCCTGGCTTTCGGTGGTATTCCGATTGAGATTAGTGTGCAATATAAATGACCTATAAATTATTATTTCTTCAAAGTAAAATGCTTGTGAATACTGTTTTTATTGGAGTCAGTTCCCATTACAAACAAGGATTCCAGGATTTCTAGTGAGAAAGTGTAATTAAATGGAATATAACAGTAAGCCAAATATCACCTATGTTATTTGGATAACGGCGGATCCGTATTACAAGTCAACTGGATTTAGAAATATTTACCATTTTGGATTGTGAACTTAGTGGTTTTAATGCATTGTGCTCTCCAAGATGTCGGAAAGTTTTATATTCGACGATGTCTAAGGTCTTGAAAGTGCTCTACTGAACAACAACAACACAACATTCAAACTATTCTGTTCTCGGTTGATAAATAATATTCGTTATCTGTCAGTTCAAAGTAATCAATTGGAGTTATAATGAATGATGAAATGATTCTCGTAATAAGTGGATATCAATATATTAAACATTAGGAACCATTGAATATATACTTACCCCTGTTACTCCTCATGGAGGAGCATAGGCCGCTCACCAGCATTCTCCATCCAACCCTCTCCTGGGCGATCCTTTCCAGCTTATTGAATATATACGTTTCCCTATTGTGCGAAAAATCTGTCTGACATTTCTATAACTTCCCTTGGCTTGAAATCTTCCAATTTTATGCAGTATATACATTGATCTTTAAACTGTTCACTAAATGGAATTTCCACCGAATAATTTTCTTATAGCATGACTTAAATTCCAGTGTTATATGTGTGTTCCAAGGCATCTTATTAACTATAAGTAGTTGAGATGCTTAATTAAGATTTCAGAAGTCTTCTTTCAGTTGATTGTTACACAATGAGTTTACATTTGTGAAGTACGATCGAAGAAACAGTGTATTATATAAGAATAATTATCAAAATTATGATAAATTAATTAATATTCATTAACTATATCAAATTCAGCAATCACAAGAAATATATCGAAATGAGAGAACTGTACATACATTAACACCGTTGGATGCCGGCTCACTGGTCTAGTGGTAAAGTGCTCGCGTGCGAAACCTGTAGGTCCTGGGTTCGAATCCCGTGGGGTGCGGGATCGTGGATGCGCACTGCTGAGGAGTCCCATACTAGCATGAAACGGCCGTTCAGTGCTTCAAGGTTTTCCATGGTGGTTTAGCTTCAATTGACTCATGATTTCAACCTGTGAAATAACTAAATGTTTACTGTACACATAAAAAATGAAGATAAACTGTCAATAACATTAAGAGAATATAATTATGATAATAAGTGAATTGAATGTTATGAATTCTTGTATTTGCTTAGAATTATCATATATAACGATGAAGAAACATGATAAGCTATATATTTCACATAAACATTTGTCAAAATTTAAGTAAATAGCTTAATAGAAATTAGATCAAAAGTAAAATTATATTTGAAATGATCTTATCGAATAAAATTTAAATGATTTCAACGTTTTACTTGGCAAACTGGTTTTAATAGTTAAATTTATGAGTCAATTAAAGCTAGACCACCATGGGAAACCTAGAAGCACTGAACTCCTCAGCAGTGCGCATTTACTGTCCCGCTCCCGGGATTCAAAACAAAGACCTATCGGTCTCGTACACGTACGCTTAATCTCTAGACTACTGAGCCGACAGGCATCCAACGGTGTTAATGTCTAACTTCATATAATCTACGAAGTTGCGCCACCGTCCACCATTGTCTTCAATGAGTTACTATTTCACAGCAGACCTGACTGAACTCCACTGGTCATGGCTTCTCACGAAAACTCCAGGACATGCCTCTTGGAGATAGTTACTGGTGCTGAGGAGTCCCATACTAGGACGAAAGGGCCGTCCAGTGCTTCTAGGTTTTCCGTGGTGGTCTAGCTTCAATTGACTCATGAACTCAACCGTTAAATTACTATAATATCCACAATACCCCATCTCTGATTTTAAACCGGTTTTAATTTCCTTTAGGGGATTAACCAAAATCAACGTTGAAATTCTGTCATTGAAGTTCTTTAAAATAAATGTTTTTGGATACTAATAAGCTATATATGTTCAAAAGGATTGATTTTCACCAAACGGTTTTTTTAAAATAATATTGGTGAGATTTTTTGAACCATTATTCATTTTTTAAATCTTATACTATTGTTATATTACTAATGTTCTCTAGTAGGGACTTGTATTTTGGACCCGTAAAGGAATCAGCTTTATCGTCTGGTCGCCTCTATTTGCATTTACCAGTCCACTTACTCTTGTGGAGCAAGGTTCATAGGCCATAGCAAGCGCTTGCTTTCAACTTGGATATGAGGGAATATCCCAGTATGGTTCTACAACGGTGAGATAAAAGCAGTTAAGAGTTCTATTCTTGAAAATTTAATAGACTCCAATTACTCCATTGATCCACAGGTTGATTGCAAGGTTGTTTACACAATCCGTGCAAAAGTACCTAGATTTCTTCGTACCCAACTCCTTAAAACGACAGAAACTGTTGCTATCCATGAGTTGAAGCCAAAACTGTATGTACCAAAGAAGTACGTCATATCCTTATCGTTACCTTGGCCTTAAACTTATGATTATTGTTATATTTCGTATTTGAAAATATATTCCTCTCTCTCTTTTTAATTCTGTCTCATATCTTTATGATTTTATCCATAAATGTTTCTGATATTATTTCATTTTATTATGCACTTTTATCATCTTTAATTATTGTAACAAAAACATTGTAATTTCAACAGTTGAGATCGTGAGTCAATTGAAGCTAGACCACCATGGAAAACCCGGAAGCACTGGACGGCCGTTTCGTCTTATTGTGGGACTCCTCAGCAGTGCGCATCCAATGACCAGTGGAGTTCAACCGGGTCAGTTGTGATTTAGTAACTCACTGATGACAATGGTGGATGTGTCGCTCAAATTCGTGGATTAGTTAAAGTTAGACATTAACATCGTTGGGCGCCGGCTCAGTAGTCTAGTTGGTCAAGCGCCTGGCGCGAGACTGATAGGTCCTGCGTTCGAATCCCTCGGGGCGTTGTCGTGGATGCGCACTGCTGAGAAGTCCCACGCTAGGACGAAACGGCCATCCAGTGCTTCCAGGTTTTCCATAGTGGTCTAGCTTCAATCGACTCATGATCTCAACTGTTGAAATTACTACAATCTCCACAAAACTTCTGGTACCAAAAAACATTTTAATCATCTTACTTTATTCACATAATAATTCGTTGCTAACTTATTAATTTTACATGGCTTTTTATTAGCAGACACATAATATTTTATTGTTGTTATTCATATTACGTAATCTAGGATTATAATCTTTCTATTACGTCATCATGTTTATTTTTTGTTCATATGTCGTCACGGTGCTTCTATGTATATACGATTGTACAGCTTCGTAATAAATTCGTTGAAAGAAAAGATCCCTTCGCTAAATTTCGTTTTTTTAATATTTAAACAAAAATTCTGCATCAATGTACATTTCGTCATTTTGTTTCGTATAAAAAATGTAGTAATTTTCTATTTATTGACAGATTCACTGAATGTTGTGATGTTATACCTTATTTATAAGGTTAAATGAATCATAAATAGCAATCAAAAGAGATTTTTAGCCACTACCGTTGTTGTGTACTACCGGTTCTTTTTGTAAGATTGAACAAGAATTTCTATATATATATTGATACATATGGAGGGCGTTAAAAGTAGTCACTAAAATGAGGAATCTGTTGTTTGCATAATGGACAACATACACTTGAAACGTTGCTGTCTTAAATTGTTTTGCGTTAAAGTTATTCAAAGAATCAAATTTTTCTTCCTCAGAATTTTCTCATATTGACTTACTTGAAACTTATCAACTGCAATTAATATATTCAGTCTAGAAAATAGCGATATGCTAAAATCATTCATATGGATGATTTAAAAAATCTAATTATCCAGTCTTTCAGTTGAACACAATGATAATGTTATAATGTAAGGATGTTTGATTTCCTCAAACAATCGATATGTTTTTGATCCAGTCCTCAAGAACCTTAAGTTGTTTCAATGGCATGTGGTTAGTAAACTAAAATTTAATCTTGTTAATAAATGACAATCTATTTTGTTTATCATTTATCAATCAGTTTATTAGACCTATTTCCCATTAGAGTTGGGAAAGTTCATTCACTAAATTTTATTCTTTTAATTCTACCGTTATACGAGTGTACTCAAAAATATAAACCAATCTGTTTGGATCATTAAAGAACATTCAAGTTGAGCACTTTTAAAACGTCAGTGTAGGTTTTTTTTAACGGATTCTTTTTTTTTACTTTCATGTCGAATATCTTTGTGAAATATATTTCTCAGGAACGTTGGACTAAAAAATAGTTACGATGACTCTATAGATCATAGTGGCGTTTAATTTCCCTCTGATGTAAAAGTGCGGTTATCATTTTCTTCCTAGCTTTACTATTTGTCCTAATTTCTCTCTCTATCCCTCCTAGGCTATCACAGACTGTAAATGCATGGTAAACACTATAATCTATTATCTCTATTCATTTTGTAGACTCTAAAACTATTTTCGTCCTAATGCCGAACTGAATGGGTGCAGAACACAGTGTTAGTCAGCAGAAGTCACATAATTTCACAAGAGATTCTCAGCTAAATTCTTTCCAGTCAACAAAAAGATCTGGTAAGTATGATTGCTCTAAATAAACTGTAACTTATTAGAATCTCTCTAACTTGATCTGTTATCCTGGCTTTTCCTTTTATAACGTAATATAATACATATTTTTCAAATAACCATTTTCCAAGTGGATATACGTATATATATATATATATATATATATATATATATATATATATTACTCTAGGACGACTCTGTGGGGCTAGCTTCAGTCATAATACTCCTTCATTATGAAATAAACATGAATTTACTGACCAGTAGTGATTTAGTCTTTTAATAGTGTGAATTCAAAGATAACCGTCTCTTTTTGTTCGATGTCAGTAGCTTTCTATTTCATTCAAACTAACTAAAAAACCTAGATGAAATTACGAATTCAAATATGTTTATATGAAAAAAACGAATTAATTGGTTAGACGATCTGAAATTTATCATCTACGAACATAAATAGCCAATTTAAATTGTGTTTTCACTACAGATGCTTCAATGTATATTAGGTATATAGCCATATTCAACTATCTTGTGAGTAACATCTTGACATTTGAATACAGAGAAATAATAAAAGATTGGTGGTAGCCGTGGCTTCTACCTTAACGTGGTTATCAGACTTGCATGTCGAAATGACCCAATCGAGCTAAGCACTTATTCCTTTGTGTTGTTTTTTCTATTGACATTTTGTCGTTTTGACTCGTTCACTTACCTCTCATCCTGTTAAATTCCGTCCTTGCTATGTTGTATTGAAATAAAGCAATTTGGACTGATACACATCTATCTCAATTTATATATTGTTTATTATAGCTAACTAACTAGATCTTATTTCACTTTGAATGTAATTCCTTTTATGGATGTACTGATCTGTTGTCCTTAGGTCATTCTTCATCTCTACCTTCTTCGCCTCGATATGATTGGCGTCGTTCATCATTATCGGGACTTGCTAGTACCTCGTATTTGAACAACATTAACAATAGTCGCAATTATGGTAGCTTTCAAAGTCCTTCTAAGCAAAAACACCAACAACGAAATTCTGTATCTAGTCTACCAAAAGATACTTTTGCTTCATCAACTGAGCTGGGTTTAGATATAAGTCAAAGATCTTCTTCGACTAAATCGTTAAATTACTCCTCATTCGACAAGTTATCCTCAACAACTAGTCGTAAACAAGCTGATGCCGGTATACTAATTGTCAATCGTGGTCGTCATACTTCAAGTCATTATGATTTAAGTGGCAGTAGAAATGGTTGCAACAATCATACAGAATTAAGTCGAGTTATATTAAAAAAGCTTCAATGGATTTCTAGATTTGAACCAATCTCGTCTACCATGAAAGTACAATATCATTCATCAATGGCAGCAACAATAGAGAATCAACCATATGCATCAACCTCTCAATCGATTCCATCATTATCGTCGTCAACGTCAACAGCATTTAAAAAGAGACAATTTATTCCACATGTTCCAGAGTTCGATTATGAAGCGGTAATCTGTCAATTATCGATTATAGAGAAATATTTATCAATCTATTGAAAATAATTGTTATAAATGTGCAAACATATAATTTAATATTAATCTATGAATGAATTTCATCTTCACTTAGGTATGGTTGATGATGGTTCTACAACTTGCTAAGTAGAAAGATTGTTTTAGACTTACTGGGTTTGATTAAAATAAAATACAGTCGTCTTAGTTATATGTAACATTTCTATTTGAATATTTATGAACAATGGAGAAGATTTGTAGCTGAAGTGGATGATTTACGTAGTTTTTTTTTCTGGGTTGGATGGTTTGGTCGTGGAGCTTCCATTGTTCTTCTGAACAATATCATCAGCACAAACTTCAAGTAGAAGTGAAGTGTTCGAATTTCTCTACATATGACTCACAGGTTGTCCTGTAGACCTTGATTTTGATTAATTATCACTGACCCTTAACCTGCCATTGTCTTCCACTTTATTTTGATTGCATCTCCTATCTACAAAATAAATAGAGACAACTGCGAAAAACACTACAGACAAAGTGGATACCACCTTCATCTTCGCCTGCACGAATATTAGCTGTCAAACACCATGACATATCTTCACTTATATTAATCCATGTGGACACATTCGACTGGCAAATGTTGAGATCTTGGATAGAAGCCTGGCACTCAGGTCAATCTGCAATCAACAAACGCATTGGTTGATATCAATCCACTCTGTCAACCAATCAGAAAAAACATGGACAAATATGAGATGAAGAATCAAATCAATGGGAGATACAATCAAAATAAAGTGGAAGACAATGGCAGGTTAAGGGTCAACAATAACCAATCAAAATCAAGGTCTACAGGACAAGCTGTGAGTCATATGCAGAGAAATCCGAACACTTCATTTCTACAATGAAATCTCCACGACCGAACCATCCAGCCCAGAGAACAAAACTCCACTTAAATATAAGAATAGTTAATGGTTTAATAATGAATAATAATTAGCTTAGATTAAAAGACTTCCGTTTAAGGCAATAATACCCAGCAGTAACGGTCAGCTCTCAGTGCAAACAAACACAAGGATATGTGGCTAGGCAGATAAAAAATATCACGTCAATATACTTGAGTTTATTGGTCGTATTCTATACTTTGATTTGCTAGAATCTTGTCGGAAGTACGAACTGGACGAAATAAATTATGAATCTCGTTGAATACAGTCAGTTGCAAATGGAAAAATGATTTCAGTAATCGCTGATACACATATAATCAAATGTTTTGTAAAGACTAACAAAGTATTGAGTCTAGTTTGTATCTACGCCTAAACTAATGATAGGAAGTGAAGTGGTCTAGCACATCGACCATTTCAATTATCCTAGGAGTCTCATCAGTCTTAGTGGGTTTAATGCCTGATGAAATCTCCCCCAGGATTCAGAAAGTTCGATGGGCTTTTGCCAACCAGCTTCACTTATGGGGCTAGTGAAATGCTTATCTGTCAACCAAAGGAAGAGTATACTACACAATAGTTAATTGTGCTGTACAGTATACCTGTAAGTTACTATTATTTGTTCGCGGATGCTCTTGAACAGTTACGCACATATTGAAACCATCGAGTTAGCAATATTGAGGTTGGGTATAGGGTACATGGTGAAAATGAAAAATTAGTTAGTGTGGTTCTGAACCGTCATTGATTGATGTGGTTGGAATGTGTATTATGTATGGCTAACTACCGTCTACCTTAATGGGTGATGCATAGTGTAGGAGTAAGCTAACAGAAAGCTGGAGGCGGTGAAATTAAAACATGAGGTCAGTCCACCAAGTGGTTGTTGAACTGAGGCGTCCTCGTAGTTGTGGACTACCTGATTGGGATTCACATACTTGTCGTAGTCAGTGTTTGGAGATGTTAGGTGAAATGACTGGGAACCGATCAAAATTCGACAGTTGCGTTCATTCTCGGTCTCCTTTTAGATCTGAAGTTTCAAAATGATCTTATATTTTTTATTTCACGAATTCATTCTTCATGAATTTTATTGTCTGTGCTTAGTTCTTCTTACTATCACTATTAATCTTACATCTCGTTATGCTGATGAGATGTGGGGCAACCTGAGGCGATGCATAAATGTACCACGCTGTACGTTACGTATGACTCACTGACAAATTGATCAATTCTTCAAACTGTTGCCTATGCACCAATTAAAAGATGAAAATAATCCTATAGTTTGGAATATATTTCCGATCTTGATGAATTTTAAACACACCATTAATTTTGAAAGTGCTGCTTTTTCACTAACCAATACAGTCGGAAACTTATGGATTGACTACTAAATATCTCTCTGGTGTTGTCTCATTTTTATTTGAGAATTCTCAACAGAACACACACTGTTACATACAACCAGTCGTAAGACCTTTGCAAAATAGATGTAACATACTTAGCAGTGAAATCCAGGACAGACATTTCGTTTTATTCAGAACTCATCACCCGGATGTACCTGCATTCCACATTTGTTGTTCACTCTGGAATCCGGATACAGTACCTTTCATTTTAAACGCTGGACATATCCGCTTGACTACTGATTTCAGAAAGTCATTCACGTATGCAACAACTACAAATTTTAATTCAGTTCACAGTCGATAACAAAACAATCCAAATGATTGCAAATTGAATTAAGGAAGACCTTTATATTTTGCGATGAACAACTGGTAAACAATTATCCTCGGTATTCATTTTTAATTCCTTTCACTGTCTACCTTTTTGTAACTTGTCTACACAAGACGATATCCCTTAACGTTTTAAGTTTATTGTAGTCAACGTACTTTTCATTGTTTTCTCGCTTTTTTATTCTTTACTCTTCTAGTCTTTTCTCTTTTGTTTTTCTTACGAAACAGTTGGTGAAAATGTCATCAGTCTATGAGCAATATTTGCATAAATATACTACTGAGTTGTCACAAAAACAATCTGATCTGATCATTATAGAAAATAAAGTGAGTATACATACTTTTTTCTATGATTTTCGACTACATTAGTCTTTTTATTGTTTTTCACATTGTTAATATTGTTTACGATTGATGTTTTTGATACTGCATTAGCTCTATGTTTTACTGTCGTCCGGTTCAGATACATATGCATGCACTATCTGTATGCTTACTTCAACTTAATATCCAAACGAAAATACAACAAAATAATCAACAGGCTTCTTCTGGCTACCTGAATAAGATATATAAAAACCATGGGTTTACATATATCTCTCTTTCTTGCCTAGTCAACAACATACAAACCAAGACCTTGAATAGGTTCATAATCAGTATCCTTTAGTTGTGTACCGTGTGCATAATCATTCACCTATCGTTTCACCTTAAAATTCGTGATATATCTAAACTCAATTTATCAACTAGTAAATCATGTTGGATAATTTATTCAAATAAAGATTTCAAAATTTACTACTGTTGATTATTAATTGATCACTGGTAATAATAAGTTTATAATCTGAGGTTATCTTTGATGAAATCCCATTCATAACTCTTCAAGATTATCGACTGTCAGAAAATTGATCTGTAATATAAGAATTAGTTATGGATACCTCTTTAATAGAGGGAAACGATCATGTCATACCATGGATAACAATTGTTTCACTGTGGATATTTCTGGATGATTGTTGCTCCGCAAAACTAAATTGATTTAAGCTGTAAAGATAGGGTAATCTAATGATTAAATGACCTGCTGAATAGGACCCCTGAAAATATAGCTGTCCAGTGTTTCCTGTTTCATAATGCTCTTCCAGTTGAGGATAATCTGTAATGGATACAATCAAATTAATTTATTATTTACCCTTTGTAGTTATTTTACAAAAAAATTAATTTGTAATATGAATTTCTTTTCTTTACTTTACTTTTTTTTCCAACAGATTGATCGAGATATTTCACAACTTGTTGAAACATTTCAAGCACGTGAGAAAGGCATCAACAATAATCAACATTCCATTAATTCAATATTTCAAAGTCCTTTCAATAGTCCAAAGAAAGTTAATACAATTACAAATTCAATAAATGACTCGACGAAATTATCCGGATCTCAACAAATTGAGAATATTGTTTTATTAACTAGTCAAATTTCATGTTTATTAACACAATGTGATGAATTAAGTAAACAATTAATGAATTCAATAAATAATTTAAATGAATTATTACCTGAATAAAATGTAATTAAGGTCTAATGAAGAACATTATTTAAGCATACAAATTTCATATTCTTTAAGTATTGAACATTTACAAGTAATTTCTTTTCAATATGAACAAAACAAACAAACTTGTAAATAACTTACTTTTCTTATATAATTAATTCGTTTAATAAGTATGATTCTTTTCAATTGAATTAAAGTGTTATAATCGATGTTATTTTAAAATTTGTGTCAAGCAGTGAGAAATGATTTAAAACTAGATGAATGGTCTTGTCTGTGCTCGAGATCGAATATCTTGGTTTTGTTTCATGGTTGAGGTGTCGTGGATGCTCTCTCAGTAATGAGGAGTTTCGTTCTAGGGCGAATCAGACATTCAGTGTTTCTAGATTTCCAGTGGTTGTCTAACTAAAATCATTCTGTGGTTTAAGCCGTGAAAATAAGAAAACAGTCAATTCAGTCAATAAAATACAAGAAAAGAAATAAACCCGAATTACTTATAAGTAGTATCGTTATACCAAAAGGATGGAGAGGCTCTGAAAGAGAAACTGTTACGTATCTGAGCAGCACAATTGATAAACAAAGAGGATCTGGTGCAGATATGAAGGTACGGATTGAAAAAACAAGGACAGCATTCCTACAACTGATGAAAATCTGGAACTCAAAACAACTGTCATTCGACACCGAAATCACAATTTTCAATATGAACGTCAATACAGTTCTACTGTACAGAACTAAAACCTGGAGAACTAATACAACCCTCATCAAAAGGTACAGGTGTTTATGAACAGTTGTTTACATAATGTTATATCTGGTTGTCGCTGATTGTTGTCGGAAAAACGCTTATTACTTATACTCGGAACGAGGGCCCTCTGTAGTTCCCACAACGCGAAAGTAAGAATACAAGACTGGTATAAGTGAAGATTTATTAGCTCCAAACACTATGACAACGACGAATCAAAATAGTTTAAAATACACTGGTTTATATATTGATGGTACACCCATTTTGATTAATAATTAGGATTAAATCACATACTCAGTTATAACAAATCACTTACTGAGTATAGTTCATGTCAACTGAATACAAGAATATCGTATATTATACGGAATAAAATATCATATGAGAAAAATAATCAAATACTACGCTGAATGATCATCACATTGACTCAGAACGGAAGTAATTTTGAACAAAACTCATAATTAGTAAAGCAATAGGAAATTGGCTACTCTTCCTATCATATCACATAAATTCCTTCATATCGGTTGGGCAGGCATCATCGGCAATGACCTACTGTGGCGAAGAACAAGCGATCTTCCTGCCTAAGAGGAAATTCGGAAAAGACATAGGAGATGGATAAGGCACACATGGTGGGAGTGATCAAACTGCATCTCGAGGCAAGCTGTAATACGGGATCCTAAAAGCAAAAGGAGGAAAGGTAAACCGAAGAACATATTGTGGTGAAAACAGGAGGCACATATCAAAAGAGTGAATATCACTTAGGAAGAACTGGAAAGCAGAGTTCAGTGGAGAATCCTGGTCGGCACCCTATGCTAGCATTTTCTTGCATTGTATTACAGGATAATTGTATGAAGCTTACTTGGATATCTTCCATTGTTTTTGATGTCATATATGAAGTAGTGGTTTGGGCACTTAAAATGAGTCACGGTATTTGTGTCAATGTGAGTTGTATAAATCTTCGACATAAACGTTTAAAACTTAATAGCTCTATCGAGGTGCACTTGTTTGACTGTGGCCACATTCTAAAGAAACCCAAATCTTTTCCAGTAATCTAACGTATAAGTTCCTTGTTTTCCAACATATGGCAAAAGCTATAGTTGTCCAAGTGTCCAGAAGCAGTTTGTGAAATCCATGTGCGTGTTTTGGCTGAATATGATAATTTCCACATCCTGTATTTATTTGTCGTTTTCTAACTACTTCCGTTAATATTCTCTGCAATCCGATAATTTACACACTTTGCGTTATGCAATCTCGATAACCTCTTGTAATTAATAAGGTTACATTTATTAATTCGAGTTTAACCTACATGCCATGCCTTCCTATTACTATCCATACCCCTAGCTACTAGCTCAGGTACTATCCTATGTGATATTTCTACCGGTCTTCCCCGACCCATCGTACTCTCTGCTTACCGTCGTCTCGTCTTCGCTGCCCTTTGTGGACTGTCTGATCCAGGTATCACAGCTACACTATGCCCCATCGCTGCACGATACTTCTGGCCGTCCATGAATAAATATGTCCATATGTGGGTAAAGCAATGCTTACAATGTCAAAGATCAAAAGTGCACAGGCAAGTGGCTGCCCCCATTGGCACGTTCGGTCGATCACGTTCTTATAGACTTTGTAGGACTATTGCCACCATCGCACGGGTATGATCACATACTCACGTGTATTGATCGTTTAACAAGACGGCCAGAAGATTCTCTTATCACGTCTATTACGGCGGAGACAGTTGCTCACCGCTTCGTAGAACGATGGATAGCGCTGTACAGTTGTCCGCCGACTGTCACGACTGGCCGAGGACAACAATTCGAGTCCGCATCATTCTCCTCACTGACCCGGCTGCTTGTTACGGAACGCATACGCACTACCACCCGGCATCAAATGGTTTAGTTGAACAGTTTCATCGCTAACTTTAAAGTATCAGGTATCAGAACGAGCTTAAAGGCATATATTCAGTGCTCCGCCGCTGAACTTCTATATACGGCACGACATTGCGTCTGCCTGGGGAATTTTTCACAACACGGAACCAGTAACGATTTTGGTAAGTCAGACTACGTCCATCGACTGTCTGAATTTATGCGAACACTGCCTCCGGTGTCAACTCGAATACAACATCGACAGTTCACTCTCCCTCAACAATTATCTACTTGTTCACATGTTTTCATACGAGTAGATTCGGTACGCAAACCTCTGCAACAGCCTTACGAAGGACCTTTTCACGTAATTTCTCGTCAGGAAAAGACTTTCAAGGTTGATCGAAATGACCGCGTCGAGATATTCAGTATTGATCGTCTCAAACCAGCACACGTCGTTGACAGTGCCCTACAGGATAACTTGAGACCCAATTCTAGACCTATCAAACCTACCAGCGTGATCTACTTCAGGTCCTACATTAGATACATCCGAGACTTCATTCTCACGTCGTGGTCAACAAAACGTGTAATATGCACCATCTGCGGACGAAACAACAGTCTCAGGTCCAGATCAGCAAACCACGCCGCCCTTGACTTCGAATGAGATTGCAGGCTCACGAAGTACGAACGAGATTACCGTTTCACGTTCCAGTCGCCGAGTACGCTTACCCGTACGCTTTCGCGACTAACCGCACATTCATCAACGGATACGGCATAGGACTCTATCCCTATACTACATGCACGCTATATCTTTTCTCTTTTTTCTTGTTTTTTTTGTATCCTTAGCCCACATCTCCGACCATCACCCGTTTGGCACCATCGATTTCAGTCAAATTTGGCGAAAGCTGGCCTGATCACTTACGCTCATTCACACGAACGAAACCGCTACTTATCGAGAGTGTAAACCCTTTCTATAACCAGTTGTACCAGTGGTTGTTATACTGTACTTGTTTGTTTAATTGTACTAAAGACATATATTATTCCGTTGATTGTGACTTTGCACGAATTCGGTTACGCTCATTAACCACACTTGTAACCTGACACGATCTCGGTATTCTTTTGATACCACGATATCATCAACAAATACATCTCGACTACAGCCACAAACTGCCTTCTGATATTTGGCCTACGGGGGACTTATCAGTTAACTGGTACGTGGTCTACTTGTAGTGGTGATCATAGTCAACCGCGACTCGACACCACACTACAGGCTAAAATAATATTATTGCATTGATAGGATCGTTCATCTATTGCGAATTAATTGATTATTGGAGTATGCCAATCAATGATTGACTGAAAAACTGGGCAGTAATATTAGGTTGGAATTTTTCCTTACCTAACCACTTAGTTTGTAATTTCAACTGGGCAAGCGCAACTGTTTGAGTTAACACTCAGTTATTCATGATTAAAAATCTGCTTAATTTAAAGGCGACACTGGCTTCCTAGCTACTTTACACAACACTAGGCTATTTCTATCCTTTGCGCCAAACAAGAGTAAAGGGGCAAAATGTGAGTAAGTTTTGGTAGCATACCAAATACGGCACATTAGAGACAATTATCCGAACTAAACGTGGCACAGTTTCCAGATTACTTAACGTTTCTGGGATCCTGCTCAATGCTCAGTAGATGGAACGTTTCCAGGTGTTTACCAAGGCTTCGTAAATTTCGACAAGGACAGTTTTCGTACTCTCGTGTTAGTTAAAACCAATATGGGTTGAATTCTGTGTAGTCCCCAGCAAACGTTCATACACACTAGTTTCGCTAGGTGAATTTGGTTGGTCCGTTTAAGTTCTTATCACATTAGTTAAAGTCATAAGTTGCCCTTCTAGGCTATTCATGCTGCAGAATTGTTAGTGATAATAATAATAATAATATATTTCTGAAATGGCGAGTACATGCCAGTTTTACAGGTATGATCTATAAATTACAACATTTATTGTTTCACAGTATACAAGTTAAATAAATATAGTCCGTAATACTGAATATCAGTTCATTCCTTCAGATACACTAAGTAATCTTCATAATATTCTCCAAAGTGGAGTCGTGTCCACGTTACACACGAGATCCAATCTCCAAATTATTGTGTAAGGATTTTGGTCATGCGAAGTATTTATACAATGCAACGTTTTAAGCTTTTAGTTGTTATAAAGTAGACTTGTAGAGCGCTTGGTGTGAACTATGATCTTGGGAAAACACGTACGTTTAGTTTATTCACGATATAAGAAGTTCCATAGCTGTACCCTCAGAGTATGATTCTGAAAAAATAGAAACCGAGGAGCATCAAGGCACTTGGATGTGAACGACAAAAATTACTTATCATTCTGTAGTGGAACAGACAGAGGTATGATAAACTATTAGAATAAATTCATACTAGCTCTTGTAGCTAAAGTTAAATGTTATAAGAGGCTCCAGATGAGAGAATACAGTAGTAAATAACAATGAATTGTGATATTTGCGATGGTGGAGCAAGTTCAAATGAAAGAAGGGTAGTCAGGGTCTGAATAT